AAAAATGTCAAAAGTGAGTAGCTGGTATCTTTAGGAGAGTGATCTTTCTCATCACTAGCGGCATTGGTTACAGCTTTTAGTTTAGGGCACTGAGGTCTAATATGTCCTACTTCATGGCAGTGATGGCACTTTACAGACTTCTTAGACTTAGGACGTTTAGTAAAGAGCGCAGATTCGGTTACTCCATGACGCTCAGGTTCATTGATCAGCTTAGATTTCACCAGATCACTAGCAATTTTAGATCCGGAGTTCTCTAAGGCCATGATTAATGGATTGTACTCAGAGGGCAGACCATTTAGCATGATTACGGCTAAAAATTCATCATCTAAAGGATATTTAATGGCAGATAACCTCTGAGACGTTCCAAGTACTTCTGTAATATAAGCTTCCATGGAGTCAAAATTTTCTCTTTTAAGGGAACACAACTTACGTAGGAGTGTCAAACGACCACTAAGGCCACTGTCCTCAAAGGCTTTAGCCAAGTTTTGCCAGGCTTCCTTTGCAGAAGTAGAATCACGAACGTGTGAATAGACACTCGGGTTCACAGAGAGGCCTATTTTGGACCATGCTTTCTGATCATTTCTTTTGCGATCAGCTTCACTGGTTGAATCGCTATCAGGATATCCATCGATGCACGACCACAAATTTTCATGGATGAGGAGCATTTTCATTGCGAATTTCCAATTTGCATAATTTTCGCGGCCCGTTAGTTTCTCAATCGTGAGCGAGTTCGAATTCAAGTGAGCGGCCATCTTCTGATGTAGACCGAGCGAGGTGCGACAAACTGAACGCGTATCACGAACACGAACTAACACTTACGAACTGTTAGAGGCGAAAAAAATGAACTCCGAAACTTCTTATAAGGCCCATAACCTGTTGGAGGATGTCTAAATCAAGACAACACTAAATGAAGTTTAAGAAATATTTTATTCCGGCATAGAATATGGATGAAACTGATTGACAAAAATACACACGCAAGGCGCATAGAGAGAGAACAGGATAGAGTAGGCAACATCGAGTAACAAGAGGGTGAGAGTGCTTACGTACTGACAATACAGATTGTGCAGTAGGATTATTACTACCTTCCAACACCAACCACCACCTAATGTAACAGTTGAAATTTATATTTTTAATTATTGTATATTCTAATTCCTAGTGTTTTTTGACCTGTGCCATAGCTCTAATAATGGGGCTCTCATGTACGTAAGTTATAATAAAATAAAATAAAATAAAATAAAATAAAATAAAGTAAAATAAAATAAGTAGGCTATTCAGAATTCGCCGACTCACATGAGTAGAATTTCTTACTTATATGAGTAGAAATCCTACTCATATCACTAGAATATTCTACTCATAAGAGTAGAAAAGTTCAACTCATATGAATTCATTTTTTTTCATTTTTCCGAAGTGTTGTTTTTGACCAGGAGTCACCGACATACCACTTAAATTTGAAAAATAAGAACATTTTGTTCTTATACTTTTTTTGATGCGGTGAATAGTTTCTGAGATATCGGGCACGGTAGATTCAACGCTGAACTCATGTGAGTTGAAATCTCTAGTCATATGAGTTGGAATCGCTACCCAGGTAGCAAGGTCTGCTATAAAATAATTTTTATTATATCTTCGAAATAACAGTTTTATTGCTATTAAATGAGAATTTTAATTCCTATTAATATATTATAAAAAAACAATTTATATCGGTTGAAAAGATCGATTAAAGTACTCCCCAGTTACAACAGTTTCAGGCGCTATATTCCTATTTTTTGAAGTTAAAAATAACAGTTTAAAATAATTTAATGACATAAATCAACAATGATTAAAGTAGTGAAAAACAAATTTCATTTGGAAAATTTACTGGTGTAAAGCGACACTTGTCTTAAAATAAAAATAAAAAATTTAAATGTTGAATACGAGTTTTGAATTATTCTTGTAAAGTATTAAAAAAAACTTAAAATATCCATAGAAAAACTAATTTCTAATAATAGAACGACTCGTAAAATTGTAGTTTTATTGAAAATTAACAGTGTCAATATATGAAATTTTATTCGTTTTTAATATTTTGTTAAACTGTTATTTTTTGGTTTTAAAAGATCAATTATAGAACTCCCCAGTTTCAGGCCTCATATTTCTATTTTGAACACCGATGACGGTGAGCACCGATACTTCCTCTAAGGAGGAGCAACAAAGACTATGCAGCAGGGATGTGACTACACTCGACACACCACACTACAATCAACGCTATAGATAGGCCCATGCCCTGTCTAGGCACAGTTAACCACAGGGGGGTCATCAAAAATGTGAGAAGAAAATCCACTCATATGCACCGAACAAAGCAAACATAGAAGCCGTCGATAAAAAAACGTATGTCGTAGAATATAAATAATATATTTTATGTTTTCACTACACACAAAGGTTAGACAGGCACCATAAACGACCCATCCAAAAACAAAATGAATCGGAGCTCTCTATCGGAAATAAAAGGAAACACCCCGATTACAATAAAACAATCGGAAATTAAAATCGGTATTTAAAAAAATAATGTAATACTAATTTATATTTCACAACTGTTTAAAATAAAATGTTTTGCAGAAAAACTGCAATAAATCAGATATTTAAACTGTCATTTTATCACTATCACTTGTATCTTTTTATCGATTTAAATTATATTTTCCTTGTTAGTGATAAATAGTTATCAAAGTTTTTTATAAGGATTCTTTTTCGACAAAAATTAAAGCTACACCGGTTTTCAGGAAACAATGATTTAAAAATAGTTTCTCACCAATATTGTTTAATAAATGGGCCTGTTGCATGCAAGAGATACAGCCGTGCGAATAGACTTTTCAGAGGTTAAATGACACGAAAATTACGATGGTCACATTAAAAAAGTCTGAAATACACTCCTTACTGCGCAATTTGCGTTGTTAGGAACGCGCTTTTTCAAATTTCCCGCGTCTGGGGGCAGTTTTCTAACGGAAACAATTAACGGCAACTCGCGGCCATTTCCGGTCAACTGAAACTGACAACATAGCCTAAAAATCGGAGCTCGTGATATTGTGAAATGAAATGTAGGAGGATTGCGTTGGATATTTAAAAGTTGATCGATTTGGTTAGCGCATAAAGCTTATATGGACCACTATAAGAGATCACGTTGGGTTTGTAAACAAACTGAAGGAAAAAATAACAACAACAACAACGACTCGGCATCTTCCGGAAATCACCGAGCCCGCCGTTTACTCGTTTCCGGTGATTAGAAAACTGCCCCCAGACGCGGGAAATTTGAAAAAGCGCGTTTCTAACAACGCAAATTGCGCAGTAAGGAGTGTATTTCAGACTTTTTTAATGTGACCATCGTAATTTTCGTGTCATTTAACCTGTAAAAAGTTTATTCGCGTGGCTGTATCTCTTGCATGCAACAGGCCCATTATGTAATAATAATTAATATTTCATGGTTATTTATAAGAATGTGTTTTGCAAAAATATGGCAACAAATGAGATATTTAAATTTGTTTTTTATTGTCTTTTTTTTATCTTTTTATTGATTTAGATTAAATTTTTCTCATTAGTACAGTATAATACTTTATGTTTTGTAAAATAGCTTTTTTAAAACAAAATGGTCTACTTCTGTGTTTTATGAAATCAACTTTAAAAAAAAATAAATTAGAATAATTTTTTTAACTTTTTTTAGTTATTAAAATGTTAATCTACTTTCCTTTCTTTAAAAAAGTTTTGTTAAGTAAGTGATTTTGATTGAGAATTTTAAACCGTCGTTTTATTTCAAATCTAAGTATGTTTTTATTGCAATAATAGTTTCCTTTTCGATCGGTGTATAACACTAGTTAAATTTGTGTTATATTTTCAGAAAACATTACTAAATTATAAATTTTCCACTGGTATTTTTTAAGTATGTAAGAAAAATTTTTCAGTGATTATAGTCGCAAAGGACTTCTCTTTTCCGTTGGTTTTTCAACTGTTGTACTAGAGCAAATTTTTCGATGAAAAAGTGCACAAAAGTAACAGTGTAAAAACTGTTGTGAAATTGCAATTTTGAACTGTTACTATTGCTACCTGGGTAGTCATATGAGTCGGCGAAAAGTGAATAGAGAAACTCTGCTCATATGAGTTGAATTCTATTCATATAAGTTGAAATCCTATTCATATGAATTGAAATTCTATTTATATGACTGATTCATTTGTATTTTGTTTGATTTTATGACTCATTTGTACTCACCATTTTTAGCAGGGAAAGAAATTGAGAATTTCTGGGGCAAACACGTACAGCCACGTAAAAAAAATCAAATTCGGTTGAAAAAGCAGGCAAAACAAGACGTTTTGGCTCAGTTGCCTTCCGGAGGATCTGCAGAAACGACTAAAAAGGGTCTCTGGAGGTGCCTGCTATTGTCTCAGAATATTTTTGAGGAGCTTTCCAGGGTTGAAATACAGTATTTTTAAAGAAAACACGTAGGTACGAAAAAGATTCAAAATTCTTTCAAAAAGCAGGAAGAATCAACAAGTTTTGGTTTAATTGCCTTCTTAAGGGTTCATAGAAACTACCTAAGCACGTTTACGGTTGGGCAACTGAAATGAAGGTATCCCTCTACTCCTATTCAAGCATCCAAAATTCAGGAAATACTCAGTCGTGTTAGTTTCATTTTAGCCTTGGGGTAATATTTGCCCAAGGGGAAAAAAGGACCAATAAGAATTGATTACCTATTCCAGAGCTAGAGCTCACGTTTGGGAAAACTGGACCAATAAGAATCGAATACTGTAGCTGCAGAATTGAAAATCTGTTCCAATCATTCCGCTAAGAATGAGAAAACCAACGCGACTGCGCATTCAGTCAATTTTGGGTGGTCTGCATATAAGAGGAACATATATTTGCATCACTTATCTTGATCAAACGTAACCTCCAAAATTACAGATTTGTCCATACGTCGAACTGGACGTGCAGGAGAAAATGTCAAAAGTCTGATTTAAACGGAAAGCGCCTGATTATGTTACAGGATCAAGGAAGCATGCTGACAGAATGGCATTAGACAACAGGGGGCGTGAGTGCGACACCTTCGTCGCCGTCGCCTGGTGGAAAAGGAAATGACAGGCAGGATCGGAGTTGGATCCGCACGCGTGCCCTTCGCTTTGGCGCTCTGCATGCTCTTCACGCCCTGCAACTGGAGTCACGCAAAGCAACAAGTCACGCTCGCCCACGGTACCGTGTTCCTCGACTCTGCGGACGCCTTCAGCGTATTAGATATCACCACCGCCGAAACAAGGTGCGTGCTCCAACTTTTATTAGAACCGTTGGATGTCGACCATACACGTCAAAAGTACACCACACACAACAATACCTACCAAGAAATTCGGCGGCGGCTAAATTTCGAGATTTTTCTGACATTATCTTCCTTACGATTTTAAAAGCTCGTCTTGCTCAAGAGGTCGTAAGGGACATCATTTTAAAAAAATCTCAAAATTTAGCTGGCGCCAAGTTTTAATTGGTTATTGAGTGCTGTGTCCTTTCTCTGGTTCGCGAGCACACGGTAAAGAATTGCTCATTTTACGGATTCGTTCGTTTGACGGACGCCATTTTTTGTGTCAGAGCAACGTTGGATATATCGCAACGATTCATTCCATAATTTCAGTTCCTTGTAATTTTTTTCGAATTTAGAGATCACACTTCCATTGTCAGGGGACTGAAAAATTCATATACCAAATTTGAAAAAGAAATTCAACGTTATATTGGCGTGGTTTTTTTTAGAGGATTCGATACTAATATCGAAACTGTACCAAAAATGGCGTCCGTCGAATCACCTTAATGCTGGCTAGTCAAGTAGTTCTAAAATTTCGAGGTTATTTTGGCCTCAAGGCGGAATTAAAATTTAAAAAATATGCTAGAAGTGGCGATTGTAATCCAACGACAAATGGCTTTTAGGTGATAGAAATGAACGTAGAAATCAATTTTTCAAAGAAGAAAAAAATTAAAATTTTTGAGACCTCGTCAACTTTTACTGTTTTAAGTGAAATGAACTAGGAATTTTAAGGGCATAGTCACTGAGTTAGGCTGTTCGACTGCAGTGGCAGAGCGCCGATACATATCACATGTTCAACGACAAAAAATGAAACAATAAGTAAAATCCAACATGAATATGTTGGAAAAGCGTGCCAAATAACTGAAATATTGGACACATTACCTGCTATTTTCATGTCATTGCTATTTGTATCAATTGGTACTTTTTGCTAAATTTGGGAGAAAATATCGATCCATTAACGTTGAATGTAAATTAATTTTAAAGATTCCGTCCAATTATCTTGATTTTAAGCTGATATGCGGCATTTGCGCACGCGACCGCGATTTGCGGCGAACTGCCGTACATCAGCTTACGTAAAATCAAGATAATTCGACGGGGTAACGGTGCGATCGCTCCACGGTGCGTGGACTCCACGCACTCACCCCCTTCCAAAACTGATGCATCGGATCCACGGGTCGTGGAGCCCACGCACCAAATCAGAGAGAAGTGGTGTGTGGAGCCCACGCCCTGTGGATCGATTGCACCTGTGCATCGGCTCCACGGTGCATTCCCTCCACAGGCCCGTTCCCGAAAAAACTGAACCCGGTAATTCTCAAATTTTTCGCAGCGCGCCCTCGGACGATTTTCCACCTTGATTTGAACTGTCTGGAATACAGTAATGCAGTATTTTTAGTGGTGACCTCATCATATTGCCGAAGAAAGGTTTTATCGCCTTTCTCACCCCAGGAAAGTTACAAGGTTTTTGGCAAAATTCCCTTCCCCAAGTAGCAGTGATCGCGATAAATAGCGATTTTATCAGTTGGTTATCGAGATATTATCACATTAAAAATTGCGATATATGGCGATTAAATCGCTACAAATTGCAATTTTGGGTTCGATTAAATCGAGATTAAATTGCCATTTATTGCGATTTTTATTTCGAAAATACCGCGATCTTAACGCGATAAGATCAAGGATAATCCTTCAGATGTTGATGATCCTGTCGATTTTATCGCCGATGAAACCGCAATATATAGCAATTTTTCCATTGAGAAATGCTACTTGGGCCTTAGGTATGCGAATTCTTTTGTATTTGGGGGGGGGGGGGTCCATTACGCATGACCTTGTCTCCACGGTACGTTTCATGGGATTTGTCTCAGGGAAAAATCTCACTTCCGAAGTAGGGAAATATATGAAGTTAGTTGATACGAATCACAGTTCCACTTAAGAGTCATTGTGGAGTCCCAAGAACGACTTTAAAAAAGAAGAAGTTTATGTTGTGTTGTTTAACGAGAAAAAAAGCCCAGAAGTTTCATTCCTACGATTCGAACTTGGGACAAAACCCGTGAAACGTCCCGTGGAGACAAAGGCGTATGAATGTTCCAACACGGTGATCAAATGGATCGCAAGGGCAGGCACTGCCCTTCATCCCTTCAATACTTTTCATAGCGCGGACATTTGGAAAATGTTGATTGAGTATAGCAATTTTACATCGTCGTTACTGATCTAACTCTAAGATTAACGTGTAACGCATAAAGTACACCCGATGCGCGAAGCGCCTCAAAGGGTTGGACCTCAAAGCGGTCAGTGGGTGTACCCTCTGCTTTCAATAGATGAGAAAATTATGAAATAAAACTCTCTTGAACATTGCTTTAATATTTGCAGGAAACTTGTGACCCTGAAGTGGCGCTTTAAAGATGGCATGAGGGTGAAAGGAAGTGCGCGGGAATATGGGTGTGGGGCGAGGTGAAAGCAGTCAGTGGTCAACTCGTGTCTTTAACTTACTATGTGTAAATTGAAGGGTGGCATATTTCGAAACCGCTGCCAATTGCGAGGCGGCATGCGGCATCTTTGCATTAGCCTGATCACCGAAAAAAGTAACTGAATCGAACTCTCATACTATATATACAACACCCCTCTCGCAGCCCTCTCCCTCTCTCTCACCGCCACGCCACGCCAAACCCTTAGCACATCACCGACTTTCTTCCGCACGATACGGTGGCAATTGGAAAATAAAGAAATATTCAAGGGTGAAAAACACGAATGGCAACACTGTAAGGGTTTTAACTGAATGGACGAAAAAGGGTCCGAACTGTTTATTGTTCTTGGCTAGCTGTCGTTCGCGACAAATTACAACTCCTCCGCGCCGCGGAATCTTTTTTGTTTCAGGTATAACCGCTGCGGCGCGGCGGTGACATGAATTTTATTCCAGTCTACAAACGGTGTCCAAAAATAACTGAGACCAAGTTTGTAATTCGGAAACTAATGAAGGTATTAAATGCAGTTCATACTCCATCAAACCTCAAAATTTGAGCTCATTCGGTTGAAAACTCACCGAGTTATTGCAATTTTTTGGTGACAAGTTGCACGAACAAATAGCCATACAGGATTTTCGAGTATATATATTTTTCATTTCACGAACTGTTCCTGAGCCGCGCTGCAGATTACTCGAAATTAATTACTCGAAAATCCTGTACCTACGGTTATTTGCTCGTGCAACTCGTCACCGAAAAATTGCAATAACTCAGTGAGTTTTCACCCGAATAAGCTCAAATTTTGAGGTTTAATGGCTACTAGTATGAACTACAGCCCCATACAAACCGCATTTTGACATCGATCATGGTTTCCGAATTATGTACAGATTTGATCTCAGTCGTTTTGGGATGTATAATCTTGCATTCTTGAATCTCTACAAAATTTGCAGGAGGCTCATGTAAAATCGAATTCAAAACTAAGTTATTTCAACATTAAAGCAATTACAAATTTAGCGATGTCACGTAATAGTGGATCCAATTATGCTGAGTATTATGTGATTTCCGTCTTTTTATATTCATGCGTGATTTCATGCAAGTTAGTGGCTCATTGCAAAGAGTCCAATGCCTCAAATTGCTGCTGCCATTTCCTCAGAGGCCCGCTCTAGAATAATCGTAGGGCGAGAATGAACTAGAAGGGAAGTGGATAGCTTCACAAAACTTACCTGTATTCAAATAGACAGTTTCGCAATTTCTTGGTGTGATTTTTTCTAAATGTTTTTCATAACTATTTTTGAAATGTTATTGGTTTAAATAGGTACCACCAGACTGGTACCGCAAATTTTAGTCTTTCAAATATTCAGCAAGACGATATTAGCAAGGGCTCAGAGGGCCAATATTGTAATATTGAGAACAGCATTTATTTTATAGTATACCACCTGACCTCACCTGACGGAACATAATTCTCAAGCATGTGAACCTTACAGTCCATGATGGGATGATAAGAAAGAAAAAGTTCAGTATGCCTTTCAAAGATTATTTGTAGAAAGTGCGTCTTTAAGCTAATTGCATACGGCCACATTTTACGTCCGGATAATCTCACGTGTAAGTAGTCTTAAGGCAGCAGCAATTTTAAAAGAGATATTCACCATAATCTGGAGCACAAATTGAGCTTGTAAAACGTTTAATGCCGTCCTCTTTCTAAAATCGTAGGGTATGAAATGGGTTTTTGCAAAAATCTCAAAAACATGAGCTCGCTGGCGCTGAGAATTTTTTTTTTTTTTTAAAAAATATGCTCTGGGTTTTCCCTACACGTTTCTATAGGTATTGCCTTTCACACAGCATTCTTTAAAAAAATATGCATGACCTCTCACTGCAGTTGTTGCAATTTATTACTTATCAGTCACCACTCGCGCTTATCTTTTTTTATGCATTTCCTCGTAATAAAGTGTGTATCAGCAAATTACGCCAACCCTGTGATCTCAAATGAGTTGGAGAGGGGTATTTTTTTCACCCCTGCACTGAAAAAAATTGACTGTCCGGTCATCAGAATTCCCATTATTAATACCCGGACGAGGATTCGGAGTCAACTGAGTCAAAAAGAAGTATCCTTGTTGCGATCCGTGTGTTTCTGTTATTATTCAAAGAGCGTTCTGTCACTTTAAACAGATTATCAGTTGACTTAACAAGAATTTTCGTCCGGAAATCATCGAGTGGACAATTTTTCGCGGGGTATTTTGTCAAACACTACCTTCCTGCCCACGGAGCTATTCAAATAAAGGATAGATAAATTCCTCTACACAAAGTACGGGTATGACCCGATTGATCCCAAACATTTTTCTAATATATATAACTGACAAGTAGCGATCATTTTTTCAGGGCTTAAAGAATCAGATGATTATACATACATTTTACTTATCGCCCCTTAACATGATTTGTTAACAGGTTTTGTTTGATAACCAAAAATAATCATTCATCGCATATACATAGTTAATGCAAAAGAGAAAGAAAAAATCG